TGCAAAAATGGTTTCCCAGTTCTCAGAGAGTTTTCTGCATTATAAATTCATTTCTGTTCATAACACTTGACAAATTTTAGCAGTCCCTGGTGTCATAAAACAGATGGAAGCAATAAAATCATTTGGTCTTTTGCTAGCACTGCTTACACTCTTCGGTGTTTGAATCTTTTGATTAAATAACAGAAGAATGAAAGACTGGCTCTTCAAGAGAAAGCTAGAGAGGTCCCTTCTTCAGTGCTAAGACCTTCCGTTATAGCTTCAAGAGATTATTGCCCTTTCTAGGGTTGTTAACAGACAGTTGCATCATGGCTGAGATACAGAGTGTGATCTGTTTCCTGTGCATTCATAGTGAAATCGAATACTGTAGTTTAATTTCAGCCTATATATACATAAAGCAGATAACAACAAAAAAGGTATGTACATCGAATTTTACTATATATTTTTAACACTTTAATCTGCATAATCTGCAATAAAAATACTGGCTTGTGGATGAGTTTGGGCATAACTCATACGTATATTATTTTTTGTTGTTGTTCACTTAGGTATAATTTTAATTCCTCTATTATGGTTTTACTCAAGTGTGTCTGGTAATTACTATATTTAAAAATAAATATTTAGGCTTCTACTAGTGGCGTGTGCGCACGTTTCCACCAGTGGATTTTAAATGCCCGACTGGCCAAAATGGGGTACTTTGGCCTCGACGACCATACTCATCACTGGCCTGATCAGGGTACTTCAGACGTTAAATGTTAAACGCGGATAGCTTCTTTCTAATGAATCAAAATTCGATCACAAATACAATCTTATGCCATCTAAATATACACTTAAATATTTTAATAAAACTTAATGTTACCTATAACACCCAACAAGACTGAAATCACACAAAAACAGTTAATTTTCACATAATCATCGATGTGATAATCATATCACAAGCCCAACCAGCAAACTGAAATTTGCTTCCCTGACCACTTTGGGTGAGACGAACTCGTACGAAGATTAACGAAAGGAAACGTGATCCCTCCCCCAAAACAGGGGAAGGGATGAGGCATGTGGCCTTGAGCATCACCACGCGCTAAAATGTTCAGAACATGACAATATTTACATCCTTATTATTCAAATTGATTTATATATGACTTCTTTTCTTTTCGTAAATTAACTATGGAAGCAATCCTTCCCTTGCTTCCATTAACGGCATGCCACTGCATTCCCCTAACCCTGTAGATCTACCATCCAATGTTTAGCAGAACAAACAGGGGTCTGCACACCTATTGGTAATAGTGAAGTGCTGCTTGTGTCTATTTATAAATCTCTGGGCCATGCCTGGAGTCGTGCTGATATCACTGACCTATTAACCTTTATACATAGTCTATTTTGGCAGGTGATCTGCATGCTAAACACCGATTGTGTTTCTCACCCTTCAGGTGAGAAACTCATGGCCTTATTTCATTCATTCATTCATTCATTGTTGGAGGAGGTGGGTTTCCCCATGCACTTAGACCAGTTATTGGGCCATTGTGCATCCCCCTTTAATTTTTACTGTCTCCATACCCTACAGGGTACTGGTGCCCGTTATCAGCCCCTTTCTGCCAATGAGATCGGCCCTCTACTGGCAGTGGTATCTGATAATTAGTCCCTTTCTGTCAGCGAGGTTGGTCCTCATCTGGCAGTGGTACCTAATACTTTCCCCATCTACTGGAGGCACTGGAAACTACTTGGGCAGGAAAATTTGCCTAATTTAGCTCAGAGGTCTCTTACAGACATGAGGTTCTTTTACATGCCATAAATCTACGACACAGGACCCACGGCTTAAAGTCCCTCCCGGAGGACTTGTTCCCTGAATTTTTTCCGCCCTTAAAAATTCCACGACCTCTGCCGGGTTTGAACCCGCGTACCTTGAGTCATGAGGTGGGAACGTTACCCCTACTCTACGGAGGCCGCTTATGGCCTTATTTAACTTGAGAGATTTCGAAATTTCAGCACCACAGAGAAATGGTGATGTGCTGGATATTGAGGTGTGCAAAATATCAGAGTGTCAGATACAGTGTCTCTGATACTTTGGATTCTTATCACCTACCAATAAAATTCCACATAACGGATCATGTCAAAATTAGATCTATCAGAACTAATTGAAAATTCACAGACTGGGATTGGATTCGAAGCCTTGCCTCAAAATTACTATCACCCAGAATCAAAACTATCTTGGGGGTAGAAGCTGATAAAGCAGCGCGCGACTTTACAGCCTCTGTTGCTTCAGCATATAGGCAGGCAACTAGTAAAGTTACACAATCAATCTCCTCTTAATTTCCTCCTGAATCAGGTTTTGATTTGTTATCATCGTTCCCAAATATCTGAACTGCACCACATTTTCAAAACATCCGTTTTCTATCGTTATGTCATGATTTTGCCCTGCATTTTGGTGACAAGACAGCAACTTAGTTTTCTATGTGTTTACTTCTAGACCAACCTCCTTACTTGCATCAATTAAAGTTTGTGTGTTTTTCTTTATGGTATCTATATTATCACCTAGTAGATTCACATCATCGGCATAGACTAACAGCTGATGTGTCCTGTTTAATTTCAGTCCCACCTGGTTTTCCTGGACTTTCCTAATGGCATATTCTAGAGCAAAGTTGAAAAGGAGTGGCATCTCCTTGTCTTAGACCATTCTGGATAGGAAATTTATCACACAAATTTTTACCTATACGGACTTTACTATAAGTTTCATTTGAGCTTAAGTAGTTCCATGGGTATCTCAAACACTATCAGAATATTGTACAATACTTCCCTCCTAACAGAATCATAGACTTTCTTGAAGTCTATGAATAGCTGATGTACTGTCTCATTGTACTCCCATTTTTTTTCCAATATCTGACTAATGCAAAAGATCTGATCCGTAGTTGATCTGTTACGTCAAAACCCACATTGATGATCCCCAATAATTTCTCTATGTATGGACTTAACCTTAAGAGAAGAATATTGGACAAAATTTTGTATGAAGTTGATAGCAGTGACATCCCATGATAATTATTACAGTCAGTTTTAACACCCTTCTTGTGAACTGGTACAATAATAGACTCCTTCCACTGATCAGGCAATTTTTCCTTATGCCAAATATAATTAATTAGCTTATGGATTTTAGAATGTAATACTTTACCTACTATTTGAATAAGTTCTGCCGGAAAATGATCACTACCTGGCGATTTATACCTTTTCAATTTTGCAATAGCAATTTCAGGCTCGAAAGGGCTAGGATCAGTTATTATGGCTCAGCTGTATGTATTCCTATCTTCTTAATATCACTGACCCTATGTATATTCAATAACTGAGAGAAGTAGCTCCTCCACCTATTCAAAATGTAGTGGGAACCTGCAAGCAAATCATCATTCTCATCCTTCACTAAGTTACTTCTAGATTGGCAACCTCTCTTAAAGTCATTTATTCCTCTATAGAGGTCTCTAATGTTCTTGTTCTTACTGTTCATTACAAGCTCATCAATTTTGTTTTGCAGATATTCCCTCTTTTTATTCCTGAAATGCCTGCTGACTTCATGTCTTATCCCATTTATTTCACTTGAATCCTGTAACCTTTGCAATTTGGCTTGTTTTCTGTGGTCGTCAAACCATGGCTTATGCTTCTTCAATTTATAGTAACCTAGACTCTCCTTGGCAGAAATTTTGATATCCTGTCTAATAGTTTCCCAAGCTTTATTAACGTCCACCTCAGCGTCCAAGTTTTCCAAAGCCGCCAACCAATTTGAGACTTCAACACTATACAGCTCTTTACCCTCTGCCTCATGTAATTTCTTGAGATTGAACCTCTCCATATTAATGCTGGGCATTGTTTGTTTGCTCACTGCCAGTCATTCCCTAACCTTTGCCACCACCAGGTAGTGGTCAGTATCACATTCTGCTGCCCAGAATGATCAGACATCAAGTATACTTGAATGCCGTCTCCTGTCTATTGAAATATGGTCAATCTGATTGTGTATCTTCCCATCAGGAGATGTCCAACAGTTCCTAACTCTCCTTCAGGTTGTTGCATGGCTGCAGGGAACATGACATTTAAAATACTTCATTCACACTTCATTCGACCGTTCCTATGAGGTAAAGTGGCTAGGGTGTTAAGCTGACCACTCACCTTCATCCCTTGCACGTCTTCATGGCATCCTTCTTAAACAATTAAGCACAGGGATAACTTTAGCTTTTTTCATCTTTCTATCACTGAAGACATGCAGCCCACAGATTGAGAGGTATGGTTATGTTTGATTGCATAAAATAAAACAATCCTTTGGCTGCAGTATGTTTGCATTCATTGGTTATTTGTTTGTTTGGTAAAATAAGATGTTTCTTTTTGCCTGCAACTCTTACTGCTTACAGCAGTCAAGGACCTTTCTCTTCTTGCTTTTCCTATTGTGCTGGCTTTTATCAGAATTACCTCTGTGTTGTACAGATAACAGCGATTTGCAAATGCTCATTAACATTTTTCCTGCTTATTGATATTTCTTTAATAAATGGTATTCAGTTTTTAAATTTTCAGGGGAATCCACTATATTATCTTATCTTTACTGTGTTATAGTGTAGTGTGCAAATGATTTACCAACATGTGACCATTACCCAAGTAACACTTAAGAAACTGGTGTGCAAGCTAACATTTTTATTTAACTTCTAAATAAAAGGGAACAACTGTATTTCTTCTGGCTTATTTTGGACTTCATCCATCGTCTGGTATGTAGAAGATGATGGATAAAGTCCAAAATAAGCCAGAAGAAGTATAGTATACACCATCATCAGAATTCCTTCAAGTCAACAACTGTATTATTTCACATCTTGTTTAATCTTTGCCAGGACAATAGGTCCCCTCGCTAAAAAATGAGGTGTATAGTCACTCCAGTCTATGGGAAAAGAACCATAATATCAAAATGCTAAGCAGGAGTATTAAACTCTACATCATGCTATTCAGTATAATTTCAATCATGGGTTGGTACTTAAGTAAACACATACCTTCATCATGATCGTCACCAACAGCATGATAAAGACTTGGTTCATATGCAGCTTGTACTGTTATTGGAATTGTTGTAATGAGAAAATTCTCACGTTCTGTACGTTTTTTATCTTCTTGTGCTTGTAGAGCCATTTTGATCAGTTCTGTCTGTTGCTTTTTACGAGTCTTTGTGGCTGTCACTAGTGAACGCTACAAAAATAAAGTTAATGAAATGTCAAAACTTCGATGACAATAATTGTTAATTCAATCCAATTTTTTTTTTTTTTCAGATTTTAATTTTATGCAGGTTGTATTCTGATTTAGGGCACTATATTGCTTGCACATTCAATAATGTACATACACAGCATACTTATGCAATAGGCATTCAAAGACATGTGCAAGAATGATTTCCTTAGTCGAGTGACAGACATGAGAATTTGTAGAAGTTTTGAGAATCAGGATGATAAAAAGGATTTTACCTATCACATCAATTTATGTCACTAGCCAGTTTTTCCACACTACATGCTGATACTGAGGTGGGTAAGAAAGTGAAGTCTCAATCTCTTCTACAGGAAGAAGAGGACAGCATGCAGTGTAGGCAGGTTTTGTTATCTAGTTCACTTGTGCTAGAATTGCCAAACCATTACTGTGATGGCTCAGTCAGTCTGTATGTTACTGCAAAATGTAAAACTAGTTATCATAATATTTTCATTTGCCATTGTGTTTGAATCAAGATCAAGACTTTCTCTTAACTCAGTCCAAAAAATCTGGACCTATGCATGCCTCTACTTGATGTCACAATTTTATCAGATATTTAATATAAAACTCATAAAACAGCATGTTTTGTATGTCTTAACATGCTCTAACTAATGGAAAAAAGATAATATTCTACTTATATCTATTTATGGTTTATTAAAAGACGCTGACAGTAGCCCCCACCATCATCAAATTTAAGGGTGACTGGTGAATGATTAAGAAAGGATGTGGAAAGAAATTGTCATAGCTTAACTCAGGAGTCTATTACAGCATTATATTCATATTTCCTGTCTACTTCAACTGTATCAGAGATATCCATGCTGCAGATTTTGCTGCTGTTGGACATCCAAATCAGCTACTGTAATAAATACATTTGTTTAATGGACTTTTTCAATATAATGATACTCCGAGGAGGCACACTTCTGTACACTGTAGGCCACACTGTGCACTAAGTCTCGTTTTTGGTAGAAATTTCTCTGTCATTCTGAAAATGATTTATGATTCAGAAGTTCTAAGCATATCTTAACACAAAATGTGCGACCGGTCTAACTTTCAGGACTTGGTTTTTATTTTTTTTAGAGTTAATATCCCAAGATTCTCTTCGAAAATCATACTGTTTTGACGTAGAAAAGAATTGTGCTGAATAAAATAAAAATACCAGTTCTGCTTAAGAATTTATCGTCAAAGTAATATTAATAGTGTCAAGAGTAGCCTGGTATGTGATTTGCACACAGCTTTCAACCTTCCATATGTATATGATTATACAACAAAATTATGCAAGAGACAACAAGGCATACAAAATCTTGAGAATGAACATGTTTGCGGGATACGAAAAGGTGAAGTGAGACATACAAAATATAAGAGGCATTAAACTTGGCATTAGGCAAGTCTATGACCGTTGAAAGGATTAAGCTGCAGTTGTAGCATAAGATACATAAGTTAGGCATGATCTGCTCTATAAATCCTGTATTAACAGAGGACTTGTGTGTAGTGCCAAAGGAAGATTTTCCATAACATTATATGTGCAAAATATGCATTTGATGAAAAGCCAAGCATATTCACAAGAGACAAACCCATCTTCTCATCAGAGAGCATATTACATAAGGACTATTAACACAAAAGTTCAGTTGGAAAAAAAATCTCTGGTCAGGATCCTCAAGGGGCCTGGCACCAAGATGAACAGATTGGCACTAAACTGCCAGTTGTAAAGTAACTCTGACTTTGACTTAGAAGTCAGTCTGAATTAAGAATTTAGAGTCATGAAATGGCACTTGGAAGAGTATGAGGTTGGTGTCTGATGGCCGCCAGCCTGTGAGGACGTGAACACGAGCAGAGGATCGTCTGCTGTTGGAAGACGCTACTATGCAGTGGAGTGAAGCCCATGCCTGAGAACGCTATGCTCTGTGTAATAGTGATTTGTAAACTGTAGTCGCTAATTGTGTGTTAAATGAGTTCATTAAATTCGATTACCAAACCAAACCCATTTAGAATCACACTCAATCACATGCTAGTTTCAACTTTAACTGCATACGTTTCAGTTTTTATATGGACAATGGAATGTGCTCTGTAATAAATTTTTTCAAGCTTAATCAGATTCAAAAGTTTACCGCAAAAGGGATTTTTTATTCTTTACTTGATTGTCTTCAGTCATACAGAACTTAGCTTACGTCACATAAAGTGAGATAACTGAACTAATGAAGGAAATTTTCCTTTAATTTTATGGCACTGCGCTAATCACAGATTAGAACTATCAGTTGGTGACTCAGTGAACTCACAAATATTGAGAGATTTAACGCATTTATTGATAAACTCTAGGCATGCGGTAGCATAGTTGGTGGAGACACTATGCTACAAGCCGGAAGGTTGCAGGTTCAATTCCCAATGAGGTTATTGGATTTTTCTATTGACATAATACTTTCAGCCGCACTATGGCCCTGAGGTCAAATCAGCCTCTAACAGAAATGAGTACCAGGAATCTTCCTGAGAGTAAAGGGCGGCTACCCCAGACAACCTCCCAGTCATCTGTGAGCCAATTGTCTAGAAAATGTGGGAGTCTTGACATCTCACAACTCTATGGGGCTCCACAGCCTGTTACAGAGAAAGCTTTACTTTTTACTTTTTACTTTTTGTTGATAAACTCTACATCATGTACACGTTGCCTGAAATAACAGATAACTGAAAGCATGCACAATTTGCTGGATATTGAGCTATTAAACATAGGACAAAGCATGTGGTGGGTGGCATCGTGTTTCCGGTCAATTTCAGCTGTTTAGAGTAACTATGAGGCCTGACTTAATTATCTTCAAGAAGCAAAGAATGACTCAATTATTGTGAAAACAGAGAACTGCACATATGAAGGATTACAAATGGAAACTTTACAATTAGGTTTAATGTGTGATGCTCTTCAGGAATTATCTGAACTGAGCGTGGACTTACATGAGCGAGATATGAATCTGTACAGGGAGAATTAACACCAGAGGACACACAATTTTTTCATGAATGACGAACGGTTCCTTGAACATATTATAAAAATGCCTCTAAGGTTACCGAAAATTTAGTTTCAGGGAGTAACTCATCATGGGAAAGATTAGCGAAATTACTGTTCAATTGCTTCAGAAGCTTTTTATAAACCGTTGAAAAAATCAATACGAATCAGGCTGTTCAATATTGCTGAAGCTGATTTGGCAGCATCAGCACAGATGTTTGATAAGAAATGTTAGCCTGAAGACATTAACTTTCAATTGACATTTGGCTACAAAATTTTCAGTTAGCCTTCAATTAAACGAAAAAGATAACAATTCACGGACTTCATGAATACCTAACAGAAAAGAGAATTCCAGAAGAATTAAAGAATTTGAAGAGCATTCTGAGTATGATACCAATTGCATCAAGTGAAAGTGAACAAGGATTTCTACAAATGAATTTGATTGTTAGCCAAACCAGGGCTTTGCTGACAACTTTATTTCTTCACTACTCTCTCTTAAATTTGTAGGTTCACCACTGACAAGCTTTGTCACAGAATATATGGATTCATGGCTGCTTCATAAACATCACTCAGCTATAGGCAAAAAGCAGCAAGGTACGAATTCGGGATACTATGTTGGACTAGAACTGAATTACAATTTTTAATTTTATATAAAATCTGTTTTATGAAACCAAGCACTCTTTACCTGATTTATAAATACTTGTAGCACAAATTTATGCAAGATGAACAGAATGTTAATATTTCTTCGTTTACTTCAATCCAAAAATATTGTAATGTGAATAGCTAGGCAATGGCACGATAAACACCTTGCTTAAGGGCGTGACAACAATACATGAACATTGCTAGGCAACAACTCAGTATACACGTTCCAGCAACCATGCAACAGTAGGAGCTGTGTTCTCTCTGACTAATTGCTGGATTATGCAACTATTCTCACAACAGAAGAGGTATTTTCTGTGGTTCGTCCCATGGATATATAACGAATTTCCCCGTTGGGGAAAGTAAGGCCATGTGACATACGTAAATTAGCAAATTCACTGGAATTGAAAAAGACTTGTAGACTTGATGGTATTCCAAATGAATGGCTTTTGCACTTTACATGAAGACAACTGGTATATCTGCCTTTGGCTGTCCAATTTTCCAAAGTCTTGGAAGGAAGCTAAATATATAACGTTACCGAAACCTGGTAAGGACCCAGAATTTCCTCAAAATGTATGCACAATTAGCCTCTTTTCTATAACAGGCATGTTATTCGAGAAAGTTATTTCAAAAATAGTCCAAAGGCACATTTAAGATAGAGGCCTACTTAATGAAAACCAATTTGTGTTCACTGCCCCTCACAGCATGACACTTTAATGTATAAGACTTACGGACCATGTAACCTCAAATTTCAACAATACTATGCCTATGGCTGATGTATTCTTGGATACTGAAAGAAGCGTTTGATAAAACATGATACTTGGCTTGCTATATAAATTATTACAATTAAAATTTTCCATCAGTTTAATCAAGCTTATTAACTCTTCTCAGAGAACATTCAGAGTTTCGGTTGAAGGTGGACTATCTACACCATGGATATACAAGCAGGGTGCCACAAGATTCTGTTCGGTTCCCCACACCCCAAGCACCTGGTGTCTATCTACGTTTTCTTGCTGATGATGCCTGTATATATGCAACAGACTGCAAGGAGAGTTATGTTCTCAGAAAGCTTCAGCGAGGTCTCCGTGTTATTGAGACATGGTGAGCACTGAAACTTAAAAATCAATGAAGATGAGACTCTGGCAATCTACTTTTCTCACAGACTTAGGCCCTCAAGGTTCATCTAACACTGAATGGATGGAATATCCCCTTTGTCAATCATATAAAATAAGAAGACTATATGGAGACTGCATTTAGAAATGTTTTGTCACGTGTAAGGGGTTATGCGTGATGAAAGTAATGGGTTCTGGTTTGGATGATTGGATTTATTAGAGTTTGGTTACACACTCTCTTAATTACAATTAATACAGCACTATTGTTGACTGTTGATAACACTTTACAGTTCACCACTGAACATACACCCTTATTCCCAATGCAAGACCTATACCCTGATCCACTTCAACCTCACACTCACCTACGAAATAGTGTCTCAAATAAAAAGAGCTTCAACACTGAACACAGCTACAGCCTGAAAGGAAGGTTATGCAATATAATAAAACCAGTATAAATTAAAATATTCATACAACTTACATGGCTATCCTGGCTAATTGTAACCTCTTCTACTTTTGTCTTCACTTCAAGCATCCAAGGTGGATCAACAACTGGTAAAGACTCAATGCCAATCTTAGGTGATGGAAGGGTGAATTCTATACCGGGTGGTGGCACTTTAAAGGTCAGATTAGCATTTTCCTCCATCCGCGGCCATACTTGATATCGGAGCTTCCAGAGCACTTGAAACCTTGTATGACAAAACCACAAAAAGAATAATGAATGTCACATTGTGCCATAAATATAAATGTTTTTGTCCTCTATTATTGCACTGACCATCACTGGAAGCAAAGCAAATCATCACAGACACCACTGTATTCACCCCTGTTGAGTGGTGACTTATGCCTCATTTTTCTTGTGGGTCACCTCTAAAATGTAATGTAACACCAAATAACAAAATTCTGCTACATATTAATGTCATCAGATGTTAGCAGGAGTTTCAGGACCAGTGAAATCAACGTTGCTACTAAGAGCTTTAAGTCATTTTAACATTAGCGTGCTATCACTTATATTCTGAAAAATATTTACCTGCCATATTTATGTATGGATCTCAGGGACAGATATTGAGAAGCAAATTACTTCTATCAATGAACGGAGATACATGGTGAGTCGGGAGGATGTGGTGTCTTTCACATTGCTGCTTTGGGTGACTGATTGGAATGGGAAAAGTGAATGCTGCATGCACACTTAAGTCTTGGTATGTGGGTTAGCGTTCCTGGAAAACTGGATGGAGAATATATACATACATACATACAAAGGTGGACCCAAAAATTACTGGAACCGACCTGTTGCACACGCATGCTTTGTAGTTACGAGTTGTGCTGCTAGGTGGTGTTAGCTGGGGATCTCCCGCGACTGTTAGTGAGCTGGCGTCAGTCTGAGTTAAGTGGTTTGTCTGTGGTGCTCTGTTGTGTGCGTTCCTGTTTCAACCCTTTGGCGATT